AGAATGTGGGAGGTTGGTGGTTTGAATCTCAACGGAAGAAAAGTTAGTATTTTTTTTTTTTCACAGAACGATTTTTGGCGACTAAAATTATTGGTTGCCAAAAGTGTTGCTTTTGGCGACTAAAAGGTTTGGTCGGCGATTTCTTGACTATTGGCGACTAAAAGATTAGTCGGTAAATGTATAATTTCAAAAAGTGTAATTAACTATTGGCGACCAAAATTTTGGTTGCTAAAGACCTGTTTTTTGCCGACTAAAACCTTTTTAGTCGCCAATACCTTCCCCGACCGTGTTTTCGCAACAAAACCGGTGACTAAAAAATTTAGTCGAGAAAACTAAAAAGTTGACTTTTGGCGACTAAAAATGGACTTTTGGCGACTAAAAATTTAGTCACCAAAGGTGCTTTTTCTTGTAGTGTACCGAAACCGTGAATTTATTTATTTTTCACACAATTTGAAAAACTTACCGATACGAATATTTTTTTTCATGATCATATTTATTAGGTTTAAAATAAATATTGATCAATTTTTATAAATTTTCAAGTATGATCCAATATATTTCATATTTTTAAATCATTATAAACTGAGTTTTTACATTTTATTTTAATAATTAATGACTTTATATCATACAAAAAATCAATCACTAACTATTATATATAAGATAAATAATGACAAAAGAAAGAGAATAAATATGAGCCTAAATATATATACGTATATACACATATTTTAATAAAGCCAAATAGATAATGATTACACTTATTGTTATTATTATTTTTAAACAATATATAGATAGACACACAAATAAAATGGTTGAGTGATAGTAACTAAATAGAATAGCATAAGTCTTACAGCTTCAACAAAACAATAACATGTTCTTTATCTTCCCTCTTCTTTCTCTCTATCTCTTGCTCCTCCATCTTATCTCTTTATCTTCCCTCTTCTCTCTATCCCTCTTCCCCCATTTTCAAATTTTTTTTTTTATGTGTTTTTTTGAAAGAAACAGTTCGAAACCGTTACGTAACGGTGCGTAACAGGCCGTTACGGCTGTTATGACACCATTACGACGGCTACGTCAGCGGCTACAGCTGACACACTAGTGAATCTCAATCACACTGCAAAAGCGGCCGTAACGGGTGGCGGTAACCACCACAACCGTTACGTAACGGCATTACGTAACGGTTGCGGCCGCTTTTTAAAACCTTATATATTACATATTAGTGACTGAAAAAAAATTTAGTCACTAAAAATTTAACTTCTAGTGACTAAAAAGTTTATTAGTCGCCATTATTGTACATTTTAGGCTACTAAATCTGTTTTTGGTCGTCATATAATACTTTTTGCCGACTTCCCTACAAAAAAAAAAATTAGCCGTGAAAAACAGGCATATTATTATGATATCTCTTTGGTGACCAAACAAATCAGTCGTCAAATATTAAGTTTTGGTGACAAAATAAAATTAATTGTGATTATATTACTTTTTCCGACCAAAATATTTATTAGTTGCCAAATTAAAACTTTTGGCGACAAATATTTTAGTCGCCATTGATTTAGATTTGGCTATAAAACTTAATAGTCATCATAGATATGCATTTTCCGACAAAAACTAAATTTAGTCGCTAAGGGTATTAAAAAAATAAAATAAAATAAAAAAGAGGAAATTCATTTATTGGCTCCCACCCCTTTCTTTGTTAGACAACAAGGAAGTTCGAACCTCTCACAGAGACTATCCTTCACCACCAAACACAGAAAAGCACCTGTCCACAGCCCACCTTATGGAGCACATCGCTACGGCCACTGCCGCAAATCATCACCGCCCCTTTCTCTGTTTACTTCTATGTCATATAAATATTTGTCACAAAAATTTTAAATAAAATTTTAAGAGAGTTTTAGTGATTTTGAACAGAATTAATTGAAATTGAAATGGATTGAAATAAAATGGGGCGGAAATAACAATTCTCATTCTATTGATACGCAATAATAATCAATCCAAGAATGAGATTCTCACACCAATACCTATGGTATGCTAGAATGATGTGAAAAATGGGGGAATCTCTAATTGCACGCATAAACTTTCTAGCCACGCCCACTTCTAAGTACCCCATACAAATTCTAAAAAATATGCAAACCCTTTTAATCCTAAAATAGCTACACCCTTCCACTCCCCACCTACCGCCCACTACCATTGCCATCTTCTTCTCACTTGTTCGAAATTAAAATTTCATCATTAGAAAAAATCAAAATTTGAATAAAACTTTCTCACCATATACACAAGTATACATGTATACACACTACGATATATGTGGAAGTTATATAGGGAGAAAAAAATGAACACCATGAAAATAATTTCTAATTTGATAAAGAAGTTTTTGGGATATTTACTAATAAATTTTATCTCACAAACAAGTACTCTAATTAGTCCTAAATTTTTTCTATTGATTTGTTAAGTCCTATTAGTGTAGAGTTTCTTTCCGTGTGGTCTTATTTTTTTATTTTGGTAGTGTTTTGATAGACAATTATACCATTTTATTAATGTGATAGGTATGATGTGATACTCCAATGTGACAGGTATTAATGTGACATTTTAACGATGTGACACTCAAAAAAAAATTACAAACCCTTTAGTGTACTTTTTCTAAATATGACAATGTGACGGATATAATGTGACATTCCAAAACTTTTACTCCAAAAAAAATAAAAAGTCCGTAATGTTCTTTTTCCAAATGTGACAACGTGTCGAGTATAATGTAACACTTAAAAAAAATAAGCCTGCGTTTGGTTGTGTTTTGTAAATGTGATTTGAGAGTATGAGTTTTATTTTGAGTTTGTGTGTTGTAGAATTATGATTTGAGTGTAGAAAATTTGTTTGGTAAAGAGTTTTGAAAATAGTTTTGGAAAAGAGGTTTGTTTTGAGTGGGAAATTGTTGATGTGACATTTGATATGTGATACAAAAATTTACAACTCATAACTAAACATACAACTCAAAATTATTTTAAAACACATAAAAAATTTAAAAAAATTCAGAAAATATTTTTCCCAAGTATGTAAATCAATTGCCAAAATAAAATAAAATAAATAAATAAATCTGGAATTCAGAGGACATCCGGATGGACGTCCCCAAGGACATTCGGGTAGACATCCGGGTGGTCTTCCGGGTGGACTTCCTCAGGCAAAATTTTGACAAAAAACGCGGCCTGTGCATCAGAGTTCTCTACAGAGAGTGTGGAAAATTGATTTCAAAACCATAACCAAACATCATACTCAAACACACGTGTAGAAAATTGATTACAAATCACAACCAAACAGAGCCTAAAATTTTCTTAGTGTACTTTTCTCAAACGTGACAACATGACGGGTATGATGTGACACTCTAAAAATACTAAAAACTCCTTAGTATACTTTTCCCAAACGTGACATATGACACTCTAACGTAGCGGGTATAATAAAACTCCTTAGTGTACTTTTTCTAAAAAAAAGCCTCCTTAGCGTACTTTTTCCAAATGTGACAATGTAACAGTTATGATGTAACACTTCAAAAAAAAATTAAAAATTCATTAATGTACTTTTCCCAAACGTGACATGTGACACTCCAACATAGAGAGTATGATATAATACTCTAAAAAAATTAAAAACTCTTTAATGTACTTTTTCCAAATGTGATACTCTAACGTGGCAGGTATGATGTGACACTAAAAAACTCTTTAATATACTTTTTTCAAATGTGATACTTGTGGAGAAGTGGTTTGAAAATACTCTCTGGATCCTGTAGGACGCTCTTAATCCTTAGCTAGTCACCTGAAAAGGAATGAACACTTCGGTCGGGGGTTCCAAAATTATCACTCCGACGGATAAGTCAGTGTATTCTCTCTTGGTTGCTTATATCTCAAGTTAAACTTGTTCTCATATACCTTTCTTTGGCTGATGCTCCTCTATTTATATTTTTCCTTTGGGCCTCAGGGTCGGGCCCACCCTTAATCCATTGCACGTTTATTTATTCGGCTTTTGTTCAACTGGTTCTTCGGCGATTAGACTATTTGGCTCTGTGATCGTCTAGGATGAAGCCGAATACAAATTTCGTCCTTGACTGTCCTCATACCGTTATTCGACTTTATTGCCCCCACAATATTCGGCTCCCACAATTGCTCCCGAAACATCCTATTAACGCCAGTTAGTTGACATATTTGGTTTCGAATGGCATGTTTGGTTTCGGTTTTGAAAAGTCAAGGAAAGAACAGTGGGTAACCTCATTTCAACGTATGTCAAAACACACGCTTTTTAGGCATCATTACATCTTCCCGCCTCTTCGTACACTTTCTTCATTTAATGCGATTTGAAACTATGTTGTCCTTTCAAATGTAAGTTCTTTTTGAATACTCAAAACTTCTGGTTTGCCTTTTGATATACCTCCATTTCGCGACCTCTGCAACTTCCTCCTGTTTCTCATTGTCTCTTTTACTTCTTGTAAGTTTTCTTCTCCTTCACTTCGAATCTCATTTCCTTGTTTATTTTTAGTTTTGCATAATCCTTAGGCTAGTTAGGATGGCAAAACATTTGAAAGAACTCCTTTCTGCGGATCGAATTTCTGATTTTCGACGCCATTATTCCATTCCCGACAACGTCCATCTGTCACTCGTGGTAGACAACACCACTGATATGGAGAGGACTGATGAAAGTACAATCATCTTTCCTCTCCTATCGATTGTTGAGGGCGGAGTCCGTTTTCCCCTTCACCCGTTTTTAAGGGCCGCCCTTCGACACTAGGGTCTAATCCCTTCCCAACCTAACATAAATTTTTTCCGAATCATAATGGGGATTATAGAGTTGAACCGATGCCTTAGGATTAACCTTGGCATATCTGCAATTCGGCATTGTTATGCCTTAGCCAAGTCTACTGGCCAGCTGGGACACTATTTTCTCAGGGCCAAGGATACCGATCATCACTTAGTAACTATGTTTGCCAGCTCTGGCAAGCGTGTTGACGATGTAATGGTCGTTGTCCGAGGCAACTGGAAATTCGGCAAGGGTGAAGATCGCCTAGATCCTGTGCCAAGGCAGAAAGACGAACTAGGTGGCCATATAGCTCTTTTTTGTTTTTTTATTATCATATATGTATTCAGCTTTCCTTCTATGTACTTACCGTTTTGTTTATGCAGGCAACGATTTGAAGAAAGTGTTGGTTTCAGCCGACGACGCTGTACTTGCGGAAATTAAAATCGCACTACAGTTCTTTGGCCATCCAAGCCGTCAGAAACAAGGGAGGGCGGCCCACATTCTCCTGCGATACGAACCGACTTACGCACCGTTTTCGGCGGCAGACAACATTCCAATTCCGAGAGGCGAAGAGCATCTTACAACCCTTATCTTCCCCAACTTAAAAAACCTAAGGCAGACTGGTTTAGAAGCCTTTGATTCGGAGCAGGTGGAAGAACAAGTAGCCGAAGCAGTCACCGAGGAGCCGAACCAGTCGGAAGCTGAAGTAAACGAGGCTATAAACTTGGCCTTTGAGGAAACTAGACTCAATTCATCCAACCCTCCATCCACCTCAGGCCGAGGGGATGTCTCCTTTGAAGACATTTTTACAGACTTAGGAGACCTTCCCAGTGCTTATCCTGAGAATATGGCTGGGGAATCGCTCACGCAACTGGCCAGGAGGAAAAACGCCAAAAAGATGGTCGCCCGGAGGAAAGTCGAGGCTGCCCGATCGGAAACTCCACCCGTCGCCGTCGCTGAGTCTTCTCTGCCTGTTATTGCAAAAAAAAAGGCTCAGACTGAAATAGCGGAGACGGAGCAGGTAGAACAGGGGGATCAAGAGGCTGTGCAAAGGAGGGAAAAGCGCACCGCCGAGCGAGAAATCGTCCCTGATGAGGACCAAACCGATAAACGACCGTGCATTGAGGAATCAGACTTGGTTGTTCCGTTCACCGTTCAACCAAGGATAAGGAATATGTCGATTGCCTCTGATGTGTTGGCTTTGAAGGACCCGGCGGTGGCATTGAGCATGGCCTCTTCAATCTCCCTGCCGGTTGACCGAGCCACATTTCAGGCAGAGCCAGATCTAATGTTAATTGCATTAGCCGCTCAATCAGCCTTATTGGTACATTACTTGCCTTATCTGCAGTCTTCCACCTAGATATATATATATATATATATATTTCTTATTATTTGTTTTTTGTAACTCTATTTCCTTGTTTTGCAGACAGTGGACAGAATAGTCGAAATCGGCCGCCGTCAACATGACGCTATAGAACAGATCGGCTTCTCGAAAACCGAAATTGACAATGAAAAGAGCAAGGCTGTGGTAGTCTCTCAGAGGGCTGATTCCGAGGCATCGCAAGCAGCGGAAGAATGTGCAAGAGCCGACTCTGAGGCCAAGCGAGTAAGGAATTCCGACCAACTAAGGCTGGCCGCCGAAGAGAGGGCAAAAGTGAGCGAAGATGTGCTCAAGTTAGCCAATGAGGTAATCGCCAAGCTGGAAGCCGACTTGGAAGAATCGAGGAAGGCAAAGGAAATAGCCGACTCCGAGATTTCCAAAGCGTTCCAAGCTGGGAAGGACACCGCCTTGGAAAACTACGTGGAAAAAGTGCCCAAGTTCGAAAATTGGGGCTTCAAACACGGCCGGCTCAAAGCCCTCACTACCACGAATGTGACATTGGCGCAGCCGATTCCATACGAGTAGGTGGACATTGAGCCGCTGGCGTCTGACCCTGAAGATTGATTAAGGGATATTTTGGTTTTTAATAGGCATCGTAGATGCATAGTTTTTGTAGGTTTTTGTTAGTAGATTTTCATTTCTTTACTTCTACTGGAAATTTAAATGTAAGGTAATTTTCATGTGTAAAATGACTGCTATTTGTGCTTAATTTATTAATGAAAATTTTCTATGCTTTCCATTTTACTGCATATACTATTTGTCTTCAATTTATTAATGACAATTCCTTATGCTTTTCTGTTTGCTACATATGAGTAAATTAAACATCCGATAAATTAACCGAATTAATTAAACATCCTCTGCCTTTTTGTTATTCAGCCGAATAACTGAACGAATCGACAGTTAACAATTTGGAAAGGCATGACTATTCGATAAACTAACACGTAAAACGGCTCAAGGCCTCGACGTCTGGCCAATTAGATTAATGAATCTGCCACAGCTACACGAACTCAATCGCCAAATGCTATTAGTTCATGGAGCGGCTGGGGCACTCAACCCGAGCGGCTCAAGGGCTCGCCCTCTGGCTGATTAGATTAATAAATCTGCCCTTGCCTTAGCTGGTGCATGAACTGGAACGCCGAATGAAATTAGCTCCTAGAGCGGCTGGGGCACATGAGATGATCCACACTAGGCGTGGACCTTTGGCCGATTAGATTAATGAATCTGCCCTTGCCCCAGCTGGTGCATGAACTGGAACGCCGAATGAAATTAGCTCATGGAGAAACTGGGGCACATGAGATAATCGGCACCAGGCCTGGACATTAGGCCGATTAGATTAATGAATCTACTCTTGCCCCAGCTGGTGCATGAACTGGAACGTCGATGAAATTAGCTCATGGAGCAGTTGGGGCACATGAGATGATCGGCACCAGGCCTGGACATTTGGCCGATTAGATTAACGAATCTGCCCTTATCCCAACTGGTGCATGAACTGGAACGCCGAATGAAATTAGCTCATGGAACAGCTGGGGCACATGAGATGATCGGCACCAGGCCTGAATATTTGACCGATTAGATTAATGAATCTGCCCTTGCCCCAGATGGTGCATGAACTGGAACACCGAATAAAATTAGCTCATGGAGGGGCTGGAGCACATGAGATGATCAGTACCAAGCCTGGACATTTGGCCGATTAGATTAATGAATCTGCCCTTGCCTCAGCCGGTGCATGAACTGGAACGTCGAATGAAATTAGCTCATGGAGCGGCTGGGGCACATAGGATGATCAGCATCAAGTTTTGAAATTTAGCATTGATGAGATCGCCTCGGGGGTGCTACATCTGTAAGGTATAAATGGGGCGGGTGGTGGGTGCGCGGAGGGGCCATTGTTACGTTCAGAGTCAATAAATTAAAGGACTAAGCTGGACAACTGTTGTGGATGGCAAGAAGATTATTCTTCAGCAGCAGAGGAAAAGGGAGGACACTCGCGGAGTTGGACGCAGAGATGAATCGAGGTGGCGAGCCTATGCGCACGGGGAGTAGGACGTCGAGGGAACGGGAAAAATGCTAGTCCCCGCATCGTCGAAGTAGGTCACCCAGAAGGGAAAAATAGCTGGGGGCAGCTCCCCTCAACCACGCTCGAAAGGAGAAACCAGTGCGACACCGCGCTCGTTAAGTTTTGTGATTTTTGTGGGGAGCAAACCGATGACGGAAGCAGATTCAATTGTGCACGACCAAATGTGGCAGTCAAGTTTGTTCAACAATTTTCCCACCAGAAGTCCAGCAGTCGATGGTCGATCATCCTGATTTCGAAGTATTTCGGGAGGGCATCCATGGAGCGGTGAATGGGTTGTATACTGCCTATGAAATCGGCATGCGTCTTCGTGCCGCGCGGCGGGAGATAGAGCAGAAGGATGAACGCATTCGAAGCTTAGAAGCTCACACGGAGAAGGCTGAGCGCAAACTAAGGAAGGTCAAAACTGCCGAGACACAATCGGCCGACCAAGCTAACCCGATTGTGGAAGAAAGGGTGACCCAACGGCTTATAAGTCATGCGATTGTCGATCGTGATACCGCAAGCATGTTTGCAATAGAGGCCACAAAGACCAGGTCTTATGAACAAGGCTTCCATGATGGCCAAAAAGTTGGGATATAGAGGACTAAGGAAAAAGCTCGCCGAGGAGGTCTGCCAGTGCGCAAACCGTGGATTTAAGCACGGGTGGGTCAAAGCTCTCCGGGTAGCAGACGTTGATTCGGCGCCGCCGTTATGTTATATCAGAGTCATCATTTTCCCTTAGCGGCTTTCGAAGTCGAAAAGAGCGATGAGGAGGGGGATGCCAAATAAAACTGAACATATTGTACTGCCCTAATGTAGATTGGGAACAATTTATGTATTATCGATTAATTCAATGAAATATATTATCTTGAATGTTTGCATGTTTCAATTTATGTTTATAAATTCAATTATGATCATCTTCCATTTTTCGTCAACTGCGTTTATGCTTGTCAATCATAATATTAATGAAAAGCGCCTTGCACTGATGAGGCTCCAAATTCAGAGGATTACTCGGCCCAAACGTGTCTTGCACGGATGGGACTCCAAATTCGGAGGCTTTTAACTTGGCCAATCGTGAATTCCATGAAGGGCGCTCCAAATCTGAAGGCTTACTCAGCCCAAAAGTGTCATTCACTGATGGGGCTCCGAATTCAGAGACGTTTAACTTGGCCAATCGTGAATTCCACGAAAGGCACTTCGAATCCGAAGGCTTACTCAACCCAAAAGTATCATTCACTGATGAGGCTCCGAATTCGGAGGCTTTTAACTTGGCCAATCGTGAATTCCACGAAAGGCGCTCCGAATTCAATGGCTTTTATCTTCGAACTAAAATTTCATATAGTGAGATAAGAGGTCTTGCATTATAAAAGTGAAATTTGTACACGGCAAACATTCAAAACAAGTTATCATGCCCCACAAGTCGGGTTAATGATAAAATTTATGCAAATGCGTGGAATTCCAAGGACGTGGCAGACTTCTCCTAGACATGTCTTTGAGCCGGTAGACCCCTGTTCCCGCGATTAAATCGATCTGATAGAGGTCGTCCCAGTTAGGACCCAGTTTTTCGTCAGCTGAATTCCTGGCAGCTGGAAGTACTTTCTTGAGGACCAATTCTCCTGGTGTATAACGGCGTAGCTGAACACATTAATTATACGACTTAGCAAGCTGTTGCTGGTACCGTGCCATGGATGCAAAGGCACGGTCTCGTCATTCTTCAATTTGAGTCAAATCCAAGGCCAACATCATGTCATTTCGGCCCATATCAAAACTTTCAATTTCAAGGTTGAGAGGCCGATCTCCAGGAGGATGATTGCCTGGGTTCCGAAGCATAAAGCAAACAGCGTTTTCCCAGTGGATCGCTTCAGAGTAGTGCGATGAGCCCACAATACACTCGGCAATTCTTCGACCCATCTGCCTTTAGCTTTCTCCTGCCTCTTCTTGATGCCGTCCAAGATGGCTTTGTTGGAGGCCTTGGCTTAACCATTGCTCTGTGGATAAGCCAGGGTGAAGAAATAAGGCCGAATACCATAGGTGCTGCATAATTCTCGGTAGACGCCACAATCAAACTGGGTGTCGTTGTCTAAAATGAGAGCTCTGGAAATGCATGCCGAATCGTGTTATGATATTTCTCCATACAAAACGCCTAACATCAGTATCTCGAATGTATGTTAGTGCCTCCGCTTCGGTCCATTTTGTGAAGTAATCTGTCGCAACAATCAAGAATCGTTTGTTTCTCGGGGCCCGAGGTAATGGTCTAACGATATCAAGTCCCCATTGAGTGAATGGCCAAGGACTGGTGATAGAGCTTAACTCTTTAGCAGGAAAATGGGTTAAAGGGGAAAACCTCTGGCACTGTTCACATTTCTTGACATAACACTCGACATCAGCTCTCATGGTCGGCCAGTAGTACCCTTGTGTTACAGCTCAATGAGCCAAAGAACGCCCACCAGAATGGGCACCGCAACTACCTTCGTGTATTTCAGTCAAGAGTTCTTCGTCTTTATCTGGATGAACACATTCTAGGTATAGACCAGAAAGGGATTTTTTGTAGAGCTTTCCCTGCGAATCTAAATAATATCGCAGGGCTTTGTTTCGCAATTTGTGTCCTTCTTTCTTGTCCGTCAGGAGCTGTTCGGAAGATACAAATGCAGTGATGGGGTCTATCCAACTTGGACCTGACTCTAAGGGGGCAATGCTCGGCTCAGGGATGAATCCTACTTCAATTGTGCGCTTAATTTCTAAGTTGATGGCGGAGGCTAGGTAGGCCAGGCATCCGCATGTGTGTTCTAATTCCAGGTTATTTGATTTAATTCATGATGGTCAAATTTTGCCAGCAAAGAAATCGTCGTTTTCATGTAAGCTGCCATACGGTCATTTTTGGCTGCGTATT